ATTAGACTTTTTTCCTTGACGTCTCCCCTGCAACCAAAAATCATTATTCATGCCTGGTATAAGCAGTACAAGCAGCAAACTGTTAGTTACTTTCTTCAGCATAAAAACCTTTCCATATTTGAAAACTTGTATCTTCTATCAGTCTGCTCTTCTGCCAGCTAAATTCATTACTCTAGCTCTTCCAGATTTAATTTGGAGATCTAACTTCTTAGATCTACAAATATTTCTTGTTTGCTTTTCTTTGGACTTTCTCCAGTGTGCTTGGGACAACAGTGTAACCTTCACTTTCTATGCTTGAATGTTGGGATTAATGGCTTTGAATTCCAGGGTTATCTAATGATTTACAGGGAATGAACTTTGTTCTGTCTTTACTGATGCAAGATAACTGGGAAAAGAGATTCATTAAAGATTTAATTCATACCTCAGAAGACTGGGCAAGTTCCAGTTCACAGCGCAGCGAATTCACCCCTTCAGAAATATTACCGTTAAACTTACTCAGCCATGGGAAACTCAAACCATTTCTAAAAGAAACAGGGAAAAAGTGGTGTATCAGTCCTTGTCGACTTTTGAAAAACTGCATTTCCTGGAACTTCTTCACAATACTCACGAGATAAGCTCTTGCTGCATGTGTTGCATGTTCTCCAGTAGCTTATTTTTTTCTGCCCTCAGTGTCTGAAACATACATCAGATGGGGTGAGTTAGTTTGTGATGCAGAATAAGCACTGGTTGTGCATGCTTTCCCCACACAGTCAAAACTAGGCCCAGCCCCATACCTCTATTATTGAGGAACACTCCACAATGGTTAACTTCAGTTCCTTGATGTCCTGTTCCTTCTGCAGAAGTTGTGGAGAAAACAAACAAACAGAAAAATCACTATTCAGTCCTACTTCACAGCAGTAAGCTGTAGGACTTATGTTTGAGCAGCAACCTAATTATATAACAAAAATAGTTGCAAATTTCAAAGCATACCACCAGTTACCTTGCATATGAGCTAAGAGCACTCAGAAGACCTTTTCTACGTAACGTCCGAAGTTAAAGAGACAGAAAAACCTCTTTCCACATGCTGTGCTTTAATTTATTATTTACCTGGTTTCTATACCAGCAGATTAAACTAGACAGAAGCATTTTAGTTTTAGCTGAAGACCTGGACTATATTATGCCTGGTGCAAACTCTAATCCCAACGGACCCATAAAACAAGTTGAAATGTTAACACATTTTTTATTATTAGAGGCATAGAATATAGCACTCTGCAGACTGAATATTGTCTAATGAAAGGGCTGACCAAGAATGTATTTCCCTCATGTTAGGACTGAAGAGTTACTAGAAGTAGCAGCTTTCTTAGCACCACAGTCATGTTATGCCTTTACAGTAGAAGACACTGTACAGACAAGTAGAGAATTTCCTAGAGAAAACAGGAATTTCAAGTAGGAGCTTTGATCCTCTCATCCCTTTTATGGCTTCTTCCTATTCTTCCTCTTCAAAAATGGCTGAAGTTTTTGAAAAAGTGCTCAAAGTTAAGCAGGAAAAGTGAGACTGTAGAACCAGATTTTCAATCCTGGAAGAGACAACTGATATATGGTACCAAAGAGTTAATAAAAAAGAAAAAAGAAAATTTGTGTTTTCTGTTTTCATATACCTTCTCCAGACCTGGAAAAGAAAGGCTGCCAAAATAATTTTAGTGCCCAGTCTTAGCCAATCTATCTTTGGATGAAGAGCTATGAGAGGAGGATTTTTAGCTTACAGGTAAACCCTTAACCCACAGAGCCTAATGGCAAGTTTTCTGCACTAGTTTCTTCAAAGTTATACAAACCAGTCATGTTTATCAACATGTAATCTAACAGCCTCATTCCAAAATTCTCATTTAGTCAATAGACTAAGAGAGTTGTGTTTAAAAAAAAAATTATACGACAGAGCTCACAAAACTTTGAATGCTTCAAGGAGGACCAAGTGAAAGCTACTTTAAAAAAAAACAACAAACAGATTAATAAATTTATGCCCTTAAGCTGCTTCCAGGGAAAAAACCAAACCAACCAAAAACTACTAAAACACTCAGCTACAAAGTTATCAGCTGGATCACACTGCAGTTAGATTCTCTTTGTCCCTATTTGAATTCAGCTGCACTCACTTTTGCAGTTAACTTAATAGTCAAATATTTTATCAGGTGATTTAAATCATGTTCTGCTCAACAGAAATCCCATTGGCCTAAAAGACAATTTGCATAATTCATGAATCCAGATATTGCCAACACCCTTGTCTAGTCTTATGTCTTTGTTTTCTGATACAAAATAAGAGTTTAAAAACACCAGAAATGTTCACTCTTCAGCCAAGCCTAAATAATTACACCTCAGAAATGAAAGGACAAATTTGTTTTTCCATTGGGCTCTGAATCACCATTTCTAGTTTGACACAGAAGTGAAATGATTTCAGTCAAGGACATGAAGGGAAGGACCTTCTGCAGGTACATACTTTGAGCAGCTGTTGAAGGAAGTAGCCCTTAGAAGTTTCTGTATGTTTTTCTGAAGTTTGAAAGTTTAATAGGTTGTGATTTTTTTTTTAATAAAATGAAAAATAAAGAAAGAAAAATCCTGAAACCTTTAATTATGCTGACTCATAACCAGGTCCTAAAGTAGAACTCGCCTACTTTGAAGTCATTTATAGGATCAGGTTCTGCAGTGTGAGAAGAGTAGAAATAAAAGTGCCACAGTGAAGACTATTGCTTTGCCTTTATACAAATCATCCTGTAGTCAGTTTAGACCAGCAACCTGGTCCAGTGGAAGGTGTCCCTGCCCATGACAGGTGAGCTGGAAATAAATGATCTTTAAGGCCTCTTCCAACCCAAACCTTTCTGTCATTCTATGTTTTTAAGTCGAGATAGTAATGAAGTAGAAGCAACTAACCTGGATCAAGCTTGCCTCTTTGGTCACCATAGTGCTCTCATAGATATGGGCTTGGACCTACAGAATGAAAAGATCAAAAATTATTCCAGCCATCAGTACTCACTATAATACAAGTCTGTTGCTATTTCCTATTTGGATGGGAAAAAGAATAGCAACATTCCTTGCTTAGAAAAATCAAATTTTTCTTAGAATATCTTATGTGGTGCATTTCAGAGTTCAGATCTTACACTCAAGTGAAAAGGTTCTCAGCTTTAGAGTCACCTTTGTTTCCTCCCACCTATCCAGGCTAATACCTTCAGCAGCCTCACCCAATAATGACTTCCTAATATATTTTCTCAAATGTTGGGGAAAAGGAGAGAATGAAACTGTGGATTTATTCTATCAGCCCAGTTTTTAGCCTCCAGACAGCAATGCTCTTAGTCAAAGCTGACACACTGTCCAAGCAACTCTTGTACACTGCAGTCCTTCAGTATAAACAGGCTCAGAGCTGTCTGCCTTCCAGAAGCAGAAATCCTTCTCACTAGACCTGAGCAAACTATAGGTTGACTTTTTGTTCCTCCTAGAGTTGAAATTCTTACTTGAAGCTCTGCTGCATTTTTGGATAGCTCCAAGATCTTCTTGTGTAGTCCATCGGTGTCCATGCTATTCCTAATATTCTAAACAAGATAAGAGTGTTTAGGCACAGCTGAATGGATTGACAGCTTCTCCTTGAACAAACTAGGCAAAATGTCATCTCCACCCTCAATACTGCCTACTCTCAAGCACTTCCAGTGTTTATGCACATAAATTGTAAGTGCTTGCCCCACTGAAACTGCTTCTGCTGCTTTTCCCCCCAATTCTCCAGAGCACAGGTAATAGAAAACCTCAAAACATGATTTGTAAGCACTACCAGACCTAGAAAGCTAAGGAAAAACTGTCAGACCTGCAGCACAAGAATTATTTTTTGAAAGATGAAGTTTAATAGCTATTTAGATTTACAATTTCAGAAAGTCTAATCTTGAGAACAGTAAACATGTGAAGAACTACCACCACTGTTATAATAGATTCCTGGATACATGAGGTGTTTCCTTTCATTACTATATATGATTTAACCTGTTTCTCCATTTCCTCCTAAATAGTCTGAAATACAGACTGCAAGGGAGTATTAAAACATTTTATCACCTGATAAAAACAGGTTAATAAAGTAATTGCTCTAATGTTTTAAAAAAAAAAAAAAAAAAAAAGGAACAGCTCTCCTGCAAATAAAGAATTCAAGCCTAGAGATACAGTTCCACTAGCAGCAAGTTCCCTACAAGCCTCCTGTAGGTCCTTGGCCAGTGCCAGTGATCCATGTGTGAGTGGAGACCACAGCCACTGAGGTTTTTTTGGTGTTACAGCTCTACACAGAGCTTCTCCTTGGGCTCTTTAAGGGAGGGAAACAGAAGTGAACATGAAATGAAAAAGTATTGGGTGGACATTGTTTCAATGTAAAATTAGTATACTTATAGCTGTGTTAAGCAGAAATATTTGGTATTTTCCTATAAAGCTTTGAAAGGAAAAAAGGAGAGGGAGTGGGCTTCCCCTTTTTGTCCCTGTCCCCATGCTTCCCTAACCTCCTATCCTTACCCAGCAAATGAAAAACCTGAAGCACAGTGCAACTTCAAGATGTGCAACTTTTATGACAAGTCATCCTTGTAAAATGTTAGATATTTTGATAACCTAATTAGCATGTCAGGCTGCAAAGTCTGACAAACATTTCATTTCTTAATGGCAAACTTTTAGCTAGGCAAGAACATGAAGAAGAATCATGATTTATTTTACCTCTTCCTGGAGAGAAGTAACTTTGCTGTTGAGAGACTGATTTTCTTTTTCCTGATCAGAGTTAAAGAAAAAGAGAAAAAAGAAAATTCACTGTGTTTCACATGTCAAGTTCAACAGTCAAAGGCAAACTAAGGCAAAAAGCAACAGACCACAAATACATCCAGAGTCCAAGATGAAGCTGTGGTGTTGCTTTCCTTGGCTGCAGAGAGCACAACAAAAAGCGAAGTGCTGGGGCTGGTGCACTGAAAGGTTTGACACAGGCATTTCAAATCAGCACAACTCAGACCACTAGCTGATGGGAAGGAGCTATTCAAGGCCAGAGTGGACAAATCTAGTTGTACTCATGCTGGAAACAGGACAAATCTGGAAAGCCAATGTGCCACACTACACGTTTTCATATCAGAGATGAGGAAAGTCAGTAGTATCCATCCCACTTGGTGCCTTTTCTGCACAGTGAACAGTAACTAAGGGACTTATAATCTCAACTACAAAGTTTCCAATAATATTTCTCTCTCCCACTCCACTTCCTTCTCACAGGGTGAATTATGCATGGAACCTCATATTAAAGCAAAACCAGAACATACACACACTGCAGCAGCATAGCACCAAAAATCCTGGTGTTCTGGCTTGGCATGGAAGACTCATTTTTGATTTCTACATACCCACCACCAGCAGCACACACAGTTCCAGAACACTAATTTCAGGCTACACCCACACAGCAAGACATGGTGATACCACTGTTGTGTGAAGAACACACACAGCAGCTACACAAACACCTTCTTGGAGAGCCTCAGCTCTGGTGTCTGGCAACACCTGCTAAAGCTGCAGCCACATCAGCCTTGTCACCAGGCTGTTTTACAGCTCTTACACCCAGCACAAGCTTTACTACTCACACACCTGGGCCCAACTCCCACACTGGCAGCTTCAGACACACCAAGGTGTGCTGCCTGGCTTCCAGCTGTCTGCCCAGATTGGACAGGTTTTGATAGGCTCTTGTCATATCTGTCAGTCCCTATGGACATTCACAATAACCTGGGAGTGCTCTGGAAAATGACTCTTCTGTGTGGACATCTGAACTGAGTCTCTTATTCGTGCTGGTTCTACAAAAGTGATAGGAATTTCTGGCAGAATGTCACCAACTTCAGAACAGACTGGGCTCAGTGACAGCAGCATGAGAGCTGCTGTCTTTAAGCACAGTTACAAACAAGACTGTCCCTTTTAATAGTTTTCCTCATAGTAACTGGCAACAGAAAAATTTCCATGTGAAAGCACTTCATAGTGGTTTTGCAACACTAATAAATCACGTTTGAAATTGGTACAGAGAAGGTCATATTACTGGTTTTTTTGAGCCTGAGCAGTCATGCCACTGTTACAGCAAGGTGTGAGATGCTGTACAATGCAAACTAGGAAATAAAAGCACCTACTAGCTGTTTGTTCTGCAAGAGAATCTGCTCTCTCTTCTCTTCTGACAGGTTCAGGTTGTTCTTTGTTTCTTCTAGTTCTTCTTCAAGTGCTTTGGCTTTCAACACAGAGTGCTGGATGCTGCACAGAGGGGAAGTAAATCCAGAAGAAATTTAGCCAGTTACTGCTGGTCTTCAGACAGGCTCAAAATACAGAATTTCTAGAAGTTACCAGGGCCTTATTTCTTGACACAGACACTGAACAGAAGAGCAACATTTCAGTTTAAGCCCATCATTTTCATCCAGGAAGTAAAGGCTCATAGATTTACCCTCATTTAATGACTCCCTTTCACTCTCCCAGTAGGGGATGAAACCTCAGGCAAACACAGCATCAAAGACAGGTGGATCAAAACAGAGGTATGTTAACAAATCTGGCTTGTTATGGTTAAATAGATCAACTCATCTGAGAACAAACTCATCTTTACAATACTTCATAGGTAGAAGTTGTGGAAACCATTTCAGTTCAGTTTTCAAGGACAAGCTCTGCATCATTTTCTTATCCTGATCTGATACCCCAAACCAAGTGTATTTAGGCAATGAGCTGGGCTCATTTCCAGGCTAGCTCTATGCTGCAGAGCATCCCAGAGCACATGGTCCAACATGAGGGCACACACCCCATTCCAACTACACCTTGCAGGATTCTTGCTTTATCTCCCCAGAAAATACTGGGAATGGTTTGGCAGCTGACATAGCTGTATCACATTTGAATTGATTAGGCCAGTTGAGCACTATGAAATATAGGCTTGTACTTGTGGCACTGATAGATCCCCAGGCTACAGAAATAGTGAACAAATGAGACAACTCACCTCAGTTCCTCAAAGGAGTAGCAAAATAGCTGTTACACACTCACTTTCCCTCTGCTTAGCAACAAGCATGTGGTCTAGGATTGGAAGACTTCCAGTGCTTAGCTGTTCTCTTGGTAACATTGAGCCTTTTTTCCGTTGTTTTGTTTGTTTGATTTTGCTTTACCCTAAGATCTTGCTCTGTGCACCCACATGCTGCAAGAGTCAGGCTATATAAGATGAAGGACTGATTTTATAAGAACCAGGAGGTACAGAGCAGAAAATCAGGCAAGAGGGTCAAACCTTACAGGTAATACATAAAGAAAGTTGCTGTCATGAAGCACTGATAAGGCTAAAAGCAGTAAGGCAAGGCTGAACCATTTGGCAGAGTACAGCTCTGCCCATGGCCACTACAGTGTAGACCTGGTGCCATCAAGGTCTCCCACCTTTTTATTTGTTGACGTAAATCCTCATTATCTGCCAACAGCTTATTGCTGGTCTCATCTACAGCTTCCAGTGTGAGCTTCAGCTTGTTGTTCTCTTCCTGAAGCTTCTGGTTGTTGTACTGCAGGTCTGCCACACAGGTTATCAGGTCAGAAGTCTCCCTGTTCCAGTAACAAAGCCAGGAAAGACTGAGAAAAGTGCTTTGATCTAATTTAGGCTTTTGAAAAATCCTAATGCTGTGTTGCATTGACTAATAAGAGGAGAGCCCACAGAGAACTCACAATGCTGCAGTGTCCAGTCACTTGCTCTGCACAGAGATATCAGAACATTTTCAGATCAGTTCTCCAATTCTATTGACACCAAGAACTGTTTTGGTTTTAATCACTTTTTTTTGTACTCCCTGCTACCGAGATTTGCCACCAGACAAGTGCCACATCTGGATGTCTGCATGAGTATGCCTTAAGTTTTTGTTAGTCACCTCTTAGGCCACTAATAGTGCTTTTGGAGTAACTCCACAATTTCTGGATCCTTTCTTTTCCCCTAACCCAATCCCCTACTTTTGTGTTCAACCAAAACTTCAAAGAAGATTACCCTTCTGAGATCCTGAGAATTATAGGGAAGGATCAGAAAGCAGATCTTGAATTTCTGACTATACATAAACTCCAAAAGTAAACTTCTGGTGTTTGTTAAGTGCTTTGCTACTAACAGAATCCAAGTCACATACATAACTATGTTAAAAAAACAAAACAAAACAAAAACTAATTCCCCACCACAAGAAAAATAACCCTAAAAAACCTCAAGGACCAGATTTTCAGGTCACAATATCTTGTTATTGTCATACACCTAAGATTTTAGAGAAGGAACCAGTTTGAACAGGGAAACACATGGCAAAACTGACCACAGGGAATTACAGACGCAAATAGACACAGAAGCACCAAGACAGCAGTAGGAAAAATTACTAGTGTGTTTTTCACTCTGAGCAGAAACTGTGATGAAGAAGGTAACAGCATCAAGAGCTATTGCAGACTGAGGTCAGCATTAGAAATTCTGCCAGAACAGTATTCCAAAACAGCAGTTCTAGGAATTTCTGTCAAGCAATTCAGAGCTAAGAGTATTGTATTCTGAGAAAGAATTGCTTAAATGGACTTACATGTCTCCTCTGGACACATCACCCCCAAAGGCCTCCAAGCTTCCTGATGTAACATTCATCCTGGCATGTGCCTTTTTTGCTGAAAGAGTTGGGGGGTTGGTTATAGGGCAAGAAAGTGGAGTTTTCCTGAATAAAACCAGAGTAAAAGGGTCTGTACCTTCACAGGTGTTTTTAAGCACTTGAAATTCCAGGCCTTCCATACTGGCTGATGATTCCTCACTGGCATCCTCTTCCCTGAAACAAACAAGCACCAAGAGTCAAAATCAGTATGACTTTGTAACAGTTGAAAAAATTCAGCCAAAACCCACACTGTGGCCACAGCATCCCAGTGCCTTCTACTTTCCAGAGTCTGGAAGAGGCAAGTCACAGGGGAACTTTCTACTCTCCTGTTTTTACAGAAGGCTTAGGAAATAGATTCATTAAAAAGCTGTTACCATTTTCTCTTACGATCTTCAATCCACTCTCCCATGACAGCATGATACGTTTTCAGGTCCATGGAAACATCTTTCTGATCTGGGTCAAGCATGTTGCATAGCTCATCAAGATCACTGTCTTCTGATCCCCGACTAGTTGTATGCCTCAAGTAATCAATTATCTTGGAAACTGCCACCTTTCCTAAAATAGAAACAGAAGTACATGTGCAGACTCCAAAGTCTGGCAAGCATTTATAAACAGCTGTAAAAGGCCATGCTACTGGACTATTCTAGGATGTATCCAATTGCCCTCAAGAGCTGTAGACAGGGAACAAATCCCTGCAGTTGCAGTGTGTCCTGGAAAAAATAGTTTAGAGCTTTTGTTTGCTGGGTTTTTTTGTTCATTTTCTGATAGAGAAGTGTGAAAATCCAGTTTACTAGTTTTGTGGACTTCAGTTTCAGAGGAATAAAAGCTGACCTATTTGCTGAGCTACTACTTTCAGGCCTCTCATCAAATCCTGTGACTGACATTGTCGTACTCTGCTAAACTACTCCCTTCTCTGCTTACTACTCCTTACTCTCAAGCCCAGGTTGGATGGAGCCTTGAGCAATCTGGTCTGGCAGAAGGTGTTTCTGCCCATGTCAGGAGGTTGGAACTAGGTGATCTTTAATGCCCCTTCCAATCCAAACTATTCTGTGATTCTATGATTCTACCACTTTTAGACATGTGTGAGGTGGAAATGGGAGGACTTCTTTTGCTCTGCAGTTTCCTTAAGTTTTCTAACAGGAAAAAGACTAGAAGTAACTTCTGATAAATCTGATTGCTAGAAGCATGTTGCTCCTCTACTTCCCCTGCACTAAAACACTGCAAAGATCAGCAGGGGAAAAGTCAAGCACCGCGCAAAAGAGGCACAAGAAATTTATACATTTATTCTGCATCTGCCACACACACAGGAGCTAAGGGAGCCTAAGCATATCAGAGATTGGCATATCTCACAAATCACAGCATGATCAGAATCCTCAAAATCTGTTGAGAGGAGAACAAAACAGAGGAATAAAAAGCCTATGGCAAACCTGTGTGCTCTATGTCACATGCACAGAAGATAGTGGTCAGTAGGTCTTCTTCACAGATGAAGCTCACACCTTGCATGTTGTCAGCTTTGTGCCCCAGTGACTGTCTCCATCCTGTGAAGTATAAGTGTTATTGTCCATCTTCATTTGCTCATAGTAACTTTATGTACCACAGCTTCTAACTACAATATTATGTTTGCAATAGCAAGAGCACACATGGAATTCCCCTGCTTTAATGACATATTTTTTTAGTTTTAGGTGTTTGGGTTTTTTTTTTCTGAAAGATTAAATCAACAAAACAATTTACTGCCAAATAACTCCAGGAACTAACTGTTCATAGCTGGAGCCTCTGAGTTGGGAACTGGTTTATACATCTACATTTTTGGGAACCCTGGCTTTTCTTTTTTGATTGAAGGAAACACATAAAACAGGTCATTTAAGAGGCCACATATTTCCTCTCTCTCCCTCCAGATACATTGTAGAGAAATCACTACAGCTGAATTAACTTATTGAAAAATTAATACTCCAAAAAGCTCAAACTAAGACCAACACCCAAATTCATATATATATATTAAAGGCAGTCTAAATTTATAGCCAAATTGCTTAACCAAAAAAAATAAATAAATTGAAAGAATCTGAAAAAGTTTGACTTGACTTGTTACTTCCTCACTTTTTGCATTCACATTAATAGTGTTTTAGAGAAAATTGAGATTTTACTCAGCTCTTCCTGAGGTCTTATTAGATTTGAGTGATGCTAAATGTATTGTTACTAGTTTAAATAGTAAAGAAACATCACCTATGTAGGCTAAATGTTCAGATGTCTAAGATTTTGAATTAGGATTACTTTTTCCAGGATTTTTACCTCTTTCATTCGAAGGAAAGATCTTTGACAAAGGAGGTTGGATCACAGCACTTTCTGGCTTTTTACCAGATGTGAAGAAATATAAGTTCGGACTTGATGTAAGATACTTCTGTTTATAAGGCACATCTTTGGGTTCAATAGTTGGTAAAGCATACAGTTTGTGCTGAGAATTCACCTCCCTGGATCCAAAGAACAATGGAGAACAGTCCTCCCTGGGACACACCGGTATCGATGTGTTCCTAGATCTCTCATTGCATTCACCAGCTATAAAAGTAGCATTTGCAGGATGGTGGTCAGAGATGGGCCCGAGACAAGGCGACAAGTTTGGAGAGAAAACACTGTCTCTGTCAGGACTGATTACGACTGAATGAGTGTCATGACTTCGAAAAGTTCTTCTCTTCAGAATTTCTTCCAGATTTTTTTTGATATTGGACTGTGGACTGTCGAAGTTCCTGGACTGAAATTTTGGTATCTGCATAGCTGGGTTAGAGACTTGGTCCAGCATTTGGATGGATTTGATCTTTCTGCAAATACTGTCCACTGGGTTATGATGCCGTTTCTTCTTAGCTCCATGTTCTAACGACATTTTCAATTCCCTTCTCTTGCAAAGTATCTGGAAAGAATAGGGACAAGATACAAGAGTTAGGATGGCCAACATAAACATAACTTTTGCACTAATTTTTCCATTCAGCTGTGCAGCTTGAGTATCAAGTGGTTTGAAAATCCTCAATCCACTTACCAGCTGTGACAGGAACCTCTAGTCATGATGTTTAATTGTGCAGGGAACTAGAAGCTGATATGGATTTGGAAAAGTTGGTGAAAACAGATATACTTTCTGAAATCTCACTGCTGATTCTTAAATACCATAACCATGGCAGTGAGGAATGGGGGGACAAAAATAAAAGCTGGATTCCCTGCAACCTTGTGGTTGACTATCTTTTTGGATTAAAGAAAGTACTAAGGAATATTACTCATACCATTTTATCCCTAATTGGATATTTCTTTTATATA